CCCCTCGGGGAGGCGGATGTGGGAGGTCCGGCCCGGGTGCGGGCCAGCGATCCGGGAGCTGCGGGCTGCTGGTAGGGGAGGCGCCCTGAGGGGCTGGGAGCGGCGCGGGGGAGGGTCCCGGTCCTGCAGCCCCAGCGAGGGGCGAGCGGCGGCCAGTCGGCGAGCTGGGCAATAAGGAAACGGTTTATTAGGAGGGAGTGGTGGAGCTGGGCCAGGCAGGAAGACGCTGGAATAAGAAACATTTTTGCTCCAGCCCCCATCCCAGTCCCGGGAGGCCGCTGCGCCAACCGCGCCGAGCGAGCCCCTCCCCGGCTCCAGCCCGGTCCGAGGCCGCGCCCGGACCCCAGCCCGCCGTCCAGCGCTCGCGGTGCAACCGCGGCCGCGCGGTGGAGGGGAGGTGGCCCCGGCCCACCGAAGGCTCGCGCCCCGCCACCCGCAGAGCGGGCCCAGAGGTGAGTCGACGTCCGCGGACGGGACCGGGTGGCGGGCGGCCTGACCCCCGCATCAGTGGGCCGTTCCTTCGGGCGGACCCCAGAGTCACCGCAGAGTGGTCGCGGTGGGCTCAATCCCAGCTCATTAGAAAGGCAAGCTGCCCCTGGCTGACTCCGCACAGCTTACCCATGACCCTACCTGAGACTTGGAGGGGACCGGACGAGACCCGACTGGAAATCAGAAACTTGGCTCTAAGTCAGTGACTTCACTTCTCTGTTCTACCCTCTTCATAAAATGGGCAGTGGGATTCTTGTCTTGCTCTACTCACATAGAAGGGATCACACGTCCTCCAGGCCGCTGTGTGGACCTGGAGTGAATGTCCACTTCCACAGCTGTTGAGACTCCCCGCAGAGCTCACCTTTCCCAGACTAGTCCTTCCAGTTGTTGCTTGAGGAATCTGACACTATCATTCCAACCAAGGAGCCTCACCCCCAGCCTCGCATGGTCAATCATCTCCGTTCCGCGACCTTCCTTCAGGACCCAGGCCAAAGGGGATCCCAGTCTCCCTCCAGGCTGGGACCCCAGATTTTCCATCTGCCCTGGAGGCCAGTGCTGTGAAACCCACGGCTGGGCTGGCTGCCCCAGCTCCTCTTTCCTTCTCCAAGGACAGGGGTATAATGGACGGTTGCTCTCACCCTCTCTACCAGCTTCTGGCTGAGTCAGGGTCGGTCCTAATACCTGTTCTCTCACCTGTCCTCCTATTTCATTGGTTTGTTAGAAATAGCTACCATTTATTGAGTACTAACTATGTAGACACTTAGATACATTTTTTTCTCATGTAATCCTGGTCACAACCTAGTGGAAGAGGGGTTACTATGTCCATCCTACAGAAAAGGAAACAGACATGAATAACTTGTCCAAAACTCCTTGCATGGTGGGGTAAATGGCATGGTTGGGGTCTTGATAACATTTAAGTGCTTACTGTATACTACTTATACTCTGCTAAATAATTTTGCTACATTTTACCTATGAGATAACACTATTATTCCCACTTTACATATGATGGGAAGCCTAAGCCTCAGAAAGTTTAAGTAACTTGTTTCAAATCTCATGCCTCTAAGAGGCAAAGGCAGGATTTGAACCCAGGTCTCCGTGCTCCTGAGCCCACACCCTAACCTCTGTGCTACTCTGTGCTGCCTCCATGGTCTGCCTGAGACCTGAAAATCCAGGCTTGTTCCGCTGCATCACCCCGCTGTGAGGGGCTAATAAATCACGTGGATGAATCGTAGGGGCAACCCAATATGAACAGCTGGGTCTGGTCCTCTGCTGTTGGGGTAAGGCCTACTGAAGTGCAGAGTGAGTCCAGAAGGTTGTGCCTGAGATGGTGCTTCTCCAGCCCTGTGACAATCACGGCTGTGCTGAGCCACTGCCGTTGATGGGAGTGGGTTTTATCAATCCTTCAGGTGTGCTGGGGAGAAAAAGATTGATAAGCACCTTTGGGGCATACCACTACTCTGGCTCTCCCCACGGGAGGCTCAGACTTTGACTACGCCTATGGCAAACTGATGATTTCTGGGCAGCAACACTATTGCCTGGGGCAATATAGTGAGACCCTATCTCTACTAAAAATAAAACTGGGCATGGTGCTGCACCCCCCTGTAGTCCCAGCCACTTGGGAGGCTGAGGTGGGAGGATCACTTGAGCTCAGGAGTTCAAGGTTACAGTGAGCTATGATTGCACCACCACACTCCAGCCTGGGCAACTGAGCAAGACCCTGTCTCAAAAAAAATTAAAAACAAACAAAAACGCTGTCTGCATTTAAACAAATCTGAGTAGGGCACCCGTTAATAACAACAGCAGTGGGCAATTTGTTCATGTCCACCGAGACCCATGTCTTTTTCTTCCTTTGAGGAACTCATCTAACCCCAAACAATTGGAGGAATAACAACGACCAAGGAAGGATTTATTATCAGCAATTTAAGTTTATTAAGACACACTCAGTGACTATGGACAGGAAACCTAACATCTCTGAACCTCACTTTCCCCCATTGGACTGTTGTGATGATTAAATCAGATAAACCATTCAAGTTCAGTACTTAGCACATAATTAGTACTCAGAGAAGGTTAACTGTTATTATTAAGTATTTCATAGTGTTTAGCTAACGTTTGAATTTAGTTTAACGTTTGTAATTTCTGGCCAACAATAGTGATGCTTCTGTCAGCAGGAGATCTTTCACAAAGTTTTGCTTAGAAGTGAAAGGATCCTGCCAGGCCCCAGGAGTCTGTTTGTGCTACAGTCAGATTTTAGGGCAAATCGTAAAGAGTCAGCTCTGAGTTTGAACTGGTCAGGACTCAGCACCCTTCTGTTCTTGACCTCACACTGGGTCCAGTTAAAAATTGGACAGTCCCAATTTTCCTCCATCACATTCCCAGGATTAGACCAAAGATGGATTCTGCAGATGCAGACAGGCCTCGCTCCACAGTGTCACCAAGTCCCGGCTTTGGTGTTTACCCTTGGCTGTCCCTTCTCTAGTAGATGGGGAGGGTCCTGGGTGGGAGTGAGTGTCCCCTCCCTCTGCGTCCCACTCCCACTCACCCAGCAGGGCCCTGTACAGCAAAATGAAAGCAGAGGAACCAGACTTAGCATTGTGCAGGACCCATTTCTCAAAGAGTGGTGCCCACACAAACTGATCAGAACTCCCTGGGAAACTTTTAAAAAATGCATGTTTCTCGCTGATTCCAGGACTGAATCAGAGCCTGGAGTGAGGGTGAAACCAGTGAATATGCTTTACTAATTGAGCACTTCAGGTGATTCCGATGAGTGATAAAGTAGAAGGAGGGTGGACTGGGGCACGGCCAGAGAACTAGAGGTACGGACAGAGGGTCCTAGAGGAATGCCGGATTTTAGCCTTAGTGTTAGCCACTTTTTTCTTCCCACCTCAAACCCTCTTTTTTGCAGCTTTCTGGGCTAGCAAAGGCCGCCAAGGATGGCTTCCTGCTAGTACCCCAGTGGGCAGATTCAGCCCCTCTGGGGTGCTCTCTCCATCCCATCCCACCACAGGCCCCGCCACACAGTGCTGGCCAGAGTCCTCACTGGCTGCGGGAGGGGCAAGAGGCAGGAGGTCAGGCAGAGGCTGGGGACACAGCTGCAGCAGCCCAGGGCTCTGTTTCCTCCCCTAGCCTGGGCCTCTGGGGCAGAGGAAGCCCAGGCAGGAAGGCCAGGCGTGCCACCAGCCAGAGAGGCCTATGAAGCCCCCCACCCCATCCCTGGCCATACTGCCCTCAGAGCCTCAGGATCTTGGGTCTTCATTTGGCACCATTCTTAAACTATGGGCCTTCTGAAGCCTCTGTGGCCATATGCCCAGCCCTGTGAGGATCACCATGTCATGCCAAAGGACAGTCTCCCTGCCTTGTGTGCTGCCTGAGGATCCAGTCCCCAGACACACACCTGCACACACTCCACCATTCAGAAAGTCCTGTTGCTGTCTGACTAGAGTCCTTCTAGCTGCAGCTTTAGTCCATATCTTCTGGTTCTAAACCTCTGAGAAATGAAGACTGGGTGGCTTCAGAAGCACTAGTTGGTGTGGGACCTGGATTGGGGACTATCACAGACCAGAATTACTCCCCCTGACACTCTTCAACAAACTTCTGAAAAAGTTCAACCCTAGTCAGCCATGGAAGGTCAAACATTCAGTGTCTAAGTGTGTTTCACTTCCCCTGCCACATCACTGGCCCTCCACCCACCCTTTCCTAGATGGCAAGGGGAGAGAAGGGGGCCAGGGAATGACTCTGAGAGGGCAGCTTATACTCTGGTGAGCTTGCAGAGAGGTTCCTCTACACCTGGCATGACCCGGCGCCCTCCAAGCTTTGCGTGGTTGTTACAGCCTGAGGGCTCAGACATGGGCTGCCACCACTGGATAGGGACGGTGTGGAGAGAGCACTTGACTAGGAGTCTGGAAGCCTGGGTTGTACTCCTGCTGGTGCCAGTGAGTCCTGTCTGACCCAGGACAAGTCTTCTTCCCTGTATAAGCCTTAATCCTTCCTTCTGTAAAACAAGGAGCTGGATTTTGTGATCCACCTAGAATTCTGTCATGTGGGTGTCCCACGCACAAGGAACTAAGGGTAGCAAGGAACTAAGGGCATATTTAAATAGCCTCTCCAGACCCTATGGCTGCTGCAGCCCACCCTGAAAATATGCCCTTAGATCCCTGCTGTGCGTGACTCCTGCCTGTTCTATCCAGACCCCAATCTAAACAATCTTGATTCCTGTTCCTGGCTTGGCAGGACCCTGAATGGCAGGAAGTGAAGACAGGAGCCTGTTTATGTTTGAGGCAGCCAGGGCTGGGGGGGGCACTGGGAAAGGGTAGGCAGTGGTGAAGGCTGTGAGGGTGTGGGAAAGAGACACAGAACAGAAGGGGAGCTGCTGGAGAGATGCTCCTTCTACCCCAACTGGGTGCTCCCTGGGGCTCTCCCAACCTGCCTCCAGTCTGAGCTCAGCAGCAGGGGTGCAGAGCTAGGGTTTCCCCAAGCTCTCGGTCACTTAAACATGGCTCTCCACCCTTCACCTCTAACAGGATGGTTTCCATGGGGAAGTGAACCAGGACTTCCCTTGCAAGCCCCGCCCCAAAGCCAGGCGGCAGGGAGTAGGGAGGCGGCCTCCCTGCCTCCCCTCCAAAAAAAACTCTCTGTGATTTCCTCTGGGCGGGAGGGAGCCACAGCTGGCGGCTGTCACATTTTGCAGCTCTTACTCTACCTCTCTTGCTCCTCTCTGCAGGGACCATGACCTTGGGCTCCCCAAGGAGAGGCCTTCTGATGCTGCTGATGGCCTTGGTGACCCAGGGTGAGTACTGGGGGAGCAGTTAGGAAACAGGAACCTGGATAGAGAAAGGGCTATCTGGGCCCAGATCAGCTCTGCCTGGGGCTGAACTTGAGAAACTGGGGAGAATTTAGGAGCTTGACTGGAGAATAGAGGAGAGTGAGGCTCCATTAAACTCAGCCCCCAGTTACCCCAGCCCTCCTTTGCTTTCCTCGGCGTCCAGACCTGCAGGCTGGAGCTCTGTCAGGCTAGGGTGGAAGCCTATATGTGGGGCGGAGGGAGAGCAGGTGTTGGCAGGCCAAGCCTGGGAGCGCTCTCAGGACTGGGGCTGGGGGCGCAGCCCAGCCTAGAACTGGGAGGGGAGAACCTAGGAGCCAGGAGGGGACAGAAGCCTGCTTCTCAGTGTCAGCTGCCTTGAGGGGAGGGCTCTGAGGGAAGGATGACTGAGGATGGAAGTAAGGGACCAAAGCTTCAAGGTGTTTGTCTGGGGGGTCAGACGAGAGGGACAATGGGACAGAAATGGGTGTCAGGCTCAGCCTAAGGGAGCTGGGCCCAGAGTGGCTGAGCTTCCGGTGTGTCTCCCAGGTGACCCCGTGAAGCCCTCTCGGGGCCCGCTGGTGACCTGCACATGTGAGAGCCCACATTGCAGGGGGCCTACCTGCCAGGGGGCCTGGTGCACAGTAGTGCTGGTGCGGGAGGAGGGGAGGCACCCCCAGGAACATCGGGGCTGCGGGAACTTGCACAGGGAGCTCTGCAGGGGGCGCCCCACCGAGTTCGTCAACCACTACTGCTGTGACAGCCACCTCTGCAACCGCAACGTGTCCCTGGTGCTGGAGGGTACGTCTAGCTGCCCCAGCACTCCCTCCCCATCTTCTCGGCCCCTGCCCTCCCTTCCCTCCTTTCCTCTCATGCTCTGGCCAATAAAGGGGCTGGGGGTGGGGGGGCGGGCAAGACTCTGGGATTTAACTGGCAGAATGGTCTGCCCGAGGTGGGGGAAGTTGACCTAGTGCAAGCTGAGCCTCAATGTCCCCTCCCCCAGCCACCCAAACTCCTTCGGAGCAGCCGGGAACAGACAGCCAGCTGGCCCTGATCCTGGGCCCCGTGCTGGCCTTGCTGGCCCTGGTGGCCCTGGGTGTCGTGGGCCTGTGGCATGTCCGACGGAGGCAGGAGAAGCAGCGGGGCCTGCACAGCGAGCTGGGAGAGTCCAGTCTCATCCTGAAAGCATCTGAGCAGGGCGACAGCATGTTGGGGGTATGGGCCTGGGGACCTGGGACACAGGGTGGAGTGGGGCAGATAGCAACTGCGGAATCAGAGGGGTCATCCAGAGAGTAGAGCCGGTGGGGAGCTGGGCGAGTGAGGAGCTTGCAGTGACCCAGCAGGTCCCAGGTTGAGGATGGAGAATGGGGCTGCGGCTGGTTAGGGCAGCTTTTGAGTGGCCTCTCCATACCCTCAGGACCTCCTGGACAGTGACTGCACCACAGGGAGTGGCTCGGGGCTCCCCTTCCTGGTGCAGAGGACAGTGGCACGGCAGGTTGCCTTGGTGGAGTGTGTGGGTGAGCAGTGGGTGAGCCCAGTGGATGAGGACCAAGGGCTCTCATGAGCCTGGAGGGGTGAGGGAGTTCTTGGCTTCCGGAATCACAGGCAGTGCCAGGCCTGGGTCAGAACTGGAATTCTGCTGGGCAGGGAGTGGGCTGGAGACGGGCCAGGGCTAGGTTCTTTCTGCAGGACCGGGGTGGAACGAGAGGCAGCTGGGGGTGGCCTGCCGCTGGGTTTGGATCTGGATTAACTTAAACCTAAGGGTCAGGGGTTCTGTGGGTGGGGTGGGCGAGGGAGGCAGCACAGCATCCAGATGAGGGGCTCCTCCAGGGCTCTGTGTGCCCAGTGTGTAACCCTCACCTTCCCCTCTGGCCATCAGGAAAAGGCCGCTATGGCGAAGTGTGGCGGGGCTTGTGGCACGGTGAGAGTGTGGCCGTCAAGATCTTCTCCTCGAGGGACGAACAGTCCTGGTTCCGGGAGACTGAGATCTACAACACAGTGTTGCTCAGACACGACAACATCCTAGGCAAGGGGAGGGACCGGCTGTGCCAGGCCTGGGGCTTTGCCCTCCTGCACTCAGGGCTCGAATTCACAGACCTCCAGACATTAACAGAACCCTGAAGGACTCCCAGCCCACCTGCAGCACCAACCTCTTTTTTTTTTTTTTTTTTTGAGACAGGGCCTCGCTCTGTCACCCAGGCTGGGATGCAGTTGTGCAATCTCACTGGAACCTCAATCTCTTGAGCTCAAGCGATCCTCCCACTTCAGCCTCTTGAGTAGCTGGGACCACAGGCATGTGCCACCATGCCCAGCTAACTTTTTTATTTTTTGTAGAGACGAGGTCTCCCTATGTTGCCCAGACTGGTCTCAAATTCCTGGGCTCAAGCAATCCTCCTGCCTTGGCCTCCCAAAATGTTGGGATTACAGGTGCAAGCCACTAAGCCAGGCCCAGACCTAACCTCTGACTCCAGCTCTGTCTCTGACCTAAGCCACATCAACCCCCACCCCAGACGTTGCTTAGCAGTGACCCAGCCCATTCCCTCTCCCCTGACCCCACCCTGACCCTGACCACTCCAGCCTCCCTTAGCCCCAGCCCCTTGGCTGAGTCACCCGACCCTTCTGTGCACAGGCTTCATCGCCTCAGACATGACCTCCCGCAACTCGAGCACGCAGCTGTGGCTCATCACGCATTACCACGAGCACGGCTCCCTCTACGACTTTCTGCAGAGACAGACGCTGGAGCCGCATTTGGCTCTGAGGCTAGCTGTGTCCGCAGCTTGTGGCCTGGCACACCTGCACGTGGAGATCTTCGGTACACAGGGCAAACCGGCCATTGCCCACCGTGACTTCAAGAGCCGCAATGTGCTGGTCAAGAGCAACCTGCAGTGTTGCATTGCTGACCTGGGTGAGCTGGGCAGGGCAGGGGCAGACCCTTCACAGGTGGGCACAGCCCGTGCTCTCTCCTCTCCTTTGCCTATGGGCGGTGACCATGATTGGCGCTTGAAAACAGAGGTGCATGTTGTCTCAGTTCTCTGCAAGACCGCATGAGTTGTCTGAACACCCTTTTCAAACCAGACTCCTTCCACCATACCATCCTGGCTCCAGGAGTTGGGAGAAAGGAGGCAGGAGCCAGAAACCTGGATTCTCATTCCTGGCTTCGCTAACTATATCCCTCCCCGGCACCAGCCTCCGGCTCTGCTCCGTGAAGTGGGCATCATAATGCCTGCCTTGCCCACTCACATCTCGCTGGGTTCTTGAGAACCTAAAGAGCACTACATAAGCAAAGAGTACCTGGGGCGGTGGTTCTCTCTGTGGTCACTGTCTTCCAGCCCATCTCCATGCAGGTCTCCATCTGCCTCCCCCTCTCTGTCCCACTGCTTCTCTCAGTCCCCACCTTGCCTGCCCCCTGGACCCCAGGTCAGGGAGAGGGACAGGAGTGACAGGCCTCACCCCCACAGGCCTGGCTGTGATGCACTCACAGGGCAGCGATTACCTGGACATCGGCAACAACCCGAGAGTAGGCACCAAGAGGTACATGGCACCCGAGGTGCTGGATGAGCAGATCCGCACGGACTGCTTTGAGTCCTATAAGTGGACTGACATCTGGGCCTTTGGCCTGGTGCTGTGGGAGATCGCCCGCCGGACCATCGTGAACGGTGAGTGTCCACCCTACACAGGGTAGGGAAAGGGCAATTGGCCCGTGGAGCCAGGGGCTTCCTGCCATGGCCAGTGCCCATGGCCTGGGAGGTTTGCAGCCAGACCTCCTGGCACCCTTTCCATGCTGCCCACCAGCTGATTCAGCTGAGTGACCTTTTAAGGTATAAACCTTAAAAACAGATAACGGGGTCTGTGAGTCTGGCTGTGAAATCTTGGGTACGTGATAATAACAGAAATATTAATAGCAGCTAACATTGATTGAGCTTAAATATGTGCCAGATGCCATGCTATATACTTTACATGTATTATCTTATTTGATTCTTTGATATGGGCAAGGCAGTGGTATTGCTTAGTGGCTAAGACCATAGGCTTGGAATCAGACTTCCTGGGTTCTATTGCTGATTTTGCCATGACCATGGGTAGGTTATTTGGCCTCTCTGTGCCTCAGTTTCCTCATTTGTAAAATGGGGGCGGTGGCTTATGCCTGTAATCCTAGCACTTTGGGAGGCCGAGGCGGGCAGATCACCTGAGGTCAGGAATTGGAGACCAGCCTGGCCAACATGGCGAAACCCTGTCTCTACTAAAAATACAAAAATTAGCCGGCTCTGGTGGCACACGCCTGTAATCCCAGCTACTCAGGAGGCTGAGGCAGGAGAATTGCTTGAACCTGGGAGGCAGAGGTTGCGGTGAGCCGAGATCGCACCACTGCACTCCAGTCTGGGTGACAGAGTGAGACCCTCTCTCAAAAAAAAAATGAATAAATAAATAAAGAAAGAATAAAAATAGCTTCCAGTTGTTGAGATAATCTAAGTATTTAGAACAATATCTAGAGCTAAATATTAGTGGCCGTTATTGCTGTAGATAGAATGAGTGCCTGACCTCGTATTGTCCCCATTGTACAGTTGAGGAGATGGGGGCACAGAATGACAGCGGGCTTGAGGCAGCATCAGGGTCTGAAACCGGCCAGTCTGCTCCGGGGCCAGTGCTCATCATCACTGTGTGCACTTAAACCTCTCTGGCCTTTGATTTCTTCATGCACACAATGCATGTGAGTGCCTGCACTGCCTGCTTATTGCTGCCTCGTTGTTACTGTGGGTTGCCACAGGGGACTCTGATTTAGAGGGACTGCGGCAGGTAGAGGGACCTGCCCCGGGCAGCCCTGTGGTTGATGCTCTCTCAGCCCTGGGGTGGACGGAGGATGGGTGGGTCTTCTACACTGGTGGAAACATTGTCAACCTTTGAGGAGGCTGTCCATGGTGAGGGACTTCCAGGAGTCTTGACAGGTTGGGGACAATCCTCAGGATATGGCTGGAGCCCTGCTTCTTGGGGACAAGGATGTCTTCATTTCCTGAGTATCTACTAGGAGCCAGCCCCATGCCAGACTTCATTTGTCCTCAGTGGTCATTGACTGAAAACGGAGGCTGTGGTGTCACCAGTCCCTTGGGGAGACTCACGAGGCGCTTAGATTCCTTAAGGCTCTGGGGATGAACTGCCAGAGTGGGCTCTACGGAGACTGGGATCGGGGGAAAGGGGAACATGGAAGAAGCCAAGGCTCTTTGGACCAAGCTGCAGGGCAGAAAGGAAAGGCTGGGAGAGGCTGCCTGGGGCGGAGGGGGAAGCTCCATCAGCCCCACACGGACTCGCGGCACATTATAAACACTGTAATCTGGTGTCAGCCCCGGCACTGATTAAAGGCCCATTAGACACACTCAGGCCTCTGTGCAGCACTGATTAGGGCGTGAGCGGCACAGGGGCCGGCCTGGAAGCTGGCCATGGGGAGAACAGCTGGCGAAGGCTCTATCGAGGTTGCGGCCTGTGTGGCCATGGCCCCCAGCCTCAGGCTGGGAAACAGGATGGGGCACAGGGCTGTCTGCAACTCCACAGGCATTGTTTTCAGAAAGCTCCTACTAAAAACTGTGAACTTGGGATACCGAGAGGAGGGGGTCAGTGCTGGCTGCAGGAGTCAGCAGAGGCCTGTGCCATCCCTGACACTGGGTGATGTTATGTGGACCTGGATAAAAATAAGTGCAGCTCGGAGGTCAAGAGCACATGCTTTGCTGTTAGACTTTGTGGGCTTAAATCCTAGCCCTGTCACTTACTATCTGTTGATCTTAGGCAAGTTTCTTAAACTCTCTGGCCTTCATTTCTTGGCTTATGAAGTGGAGCTAATAGTATTACCTACCTCATAGGGCCGCTGTGAGGATTTCATGCAGAGCTCTTAGGATAGCACCTGGCACACAGTGCTCAGTAAACATTTGGTGTTATTATTATCAGGCATGTGTGATAGTTGGGGCCTGCGAGCAGTCCCAGGCACTGGGTGGAAGGCAACTGAGGAAAGACTGGGGACAAGGCTGGCCTAGGAATCCGAGATGGATTTGAGTCTTGCCTCTGCCATTACTAGCTGTGGAACGTTGGGCCCCACTTTTCTGAGCATCAGTTTCTTCATCTGTAAAATGGATGTAATACTAGTAGCCACCCCATAGGGCTATTGTGAGGACAAATACGATAAAACACGTAAAGTATTTACAGCAGAATACCTGGCACATGCCAAGTGCAAAACAAACGGCAGTCATTAGTATTAGTTAGAAACACATTTATTGCATTATACTGTCCCTCTCAGGGACACGTCCAGGCCACTGGTTTCTGGCTGTTGGGATGGAGGGTAGGAAAGGCTCTCCTCTGGGTGGTATTGGGCCTCCTTGGGGTCCCAAGTGATTGTCCCCTCCATTGTCCATTTGCAGGCATCGTGGAGGACTATAGACCACCCTTCTATGATGTGGTGCCCAATGACCCCAGCTTTGAGGACATGAAGAAGGTGGTGTGTGTGGATCAGCAGACCCCCACCATCCCTAACCGGCTGGCTGCAGACCCGGTGAGGCTTCTACTGGGACTAGGATGGCATGGGGTGGTGGCTCACGGCTGGGATTTCTGGGCCCAAGAACTTGTGTCTGAGGCCTGTGCTTCATCTCAGGTAGATAGTGGATGTCCTGGTTAGGGCACCGCTCTAGGTACTCCCTCTTTCAACCCTGGCCCATGCTCCCTGCCCCCAGGGCCATCTGGTCATTCTGAGAATTTAAGAACCTTCACCTTCCTTGTGAAAAGTCAGAGGCTCTCTGTGGCTCTGTGTGTGTGTGTGTGTGTGTGTGTGTGTGTGTGTGTGTTTGAGAGACAGGGTTTTGTTTGCTCTTGTCACCCAGGCTGGGGTACAGTGACCCAATCATAGCTCACTGTACCCTCAAACTCCTGGGCTCAACTGATCCTCCTACCTCAGCCTCCCCAGTAGCTAGGTGTAGTGCACACCACCACACCCGGCTAATTTTTAAAATTTTTTTGTAGAGGCAAGGTCTTTTATGTTGCTCAGGCTTATCTCAAACTCTTGGGCTCAAGTGATCCTCCTGCCTCAGCCTCCCAAAGTGCTGGTGTGAGCCTCCACACCTGACCTCCACATCTGACCACTGTGGCATTTTTGTTGCTGTTTGTCTTTGTTTGTTGCTGTTCTGCTGTTGTTTGTCCTTGTTTTTTCTCAAAACACTTCACTTATACAAAGACACACACACATATATCAACACATACAAGCATGAATATCCTTCTGAACATACACTCACAGATATATACACATGCACATATACGCCAGACTGTTGGCCCCGTGAGGACAAAGAACATGTCTTTTGCTCGGCTGTTGGGATGGAGGGTAGGAAAGGCTCTCCTCTGGGTGGTATTGGGCCTCCTTGGGGTCCCAAGTGATTGTCCCCTCCATTGTCCATTTGCA